GATGGTTTCGACTCTAGATTTCCAGGAATAGAGACAGATAATACTCTAAATTCTCATTTCTTGAGTAAGATTCGGATAAGAAAAGAAAACGAATTGGGAGTCTTTAGATTTCGGAAAGCTATAAGATAAAAGATTTGATTTAGAGTTGCATGCAGGACTCAAGTCACCCAAAGGTGTAATCGGTTCTTTAAAAAAAATAAGAACTATCTTCTTCTCTTTTGAGATTTAAAAGGTTTCTGGGTCACAGATTATCATATGATGAAAACATATGCATGTCTTCGATGGATAATCTCGCCATCCGAAACTTGAGTTGAGAAGAAAGATAAAAAAAATAGAAAATCGAACACTTTAAAGGGGATTAAATGACTTTAGGAGCATACCTTTTTGAAGACAAGGCAGATAAGAACGATTCGAGCACAACAGCAATCCTAAACTTGCAGGGAGAAGAGTTCGGCTTGAAGGTGATGAACTATTTAGAGAGGGAGAACGAGGAAAGACTAGAGCTTTTTGAATAAATAAGAGTTTTTAAAAGAGGAAGGGGGTATTTATATGAGACTTCTAAAAGAGAAGTGGGCTGGCTTCTAAAAGTCTAAGCCCAAATATTTAAATATGTCCTTAAATTAAGGCCCAAAAAAAATCTAAAATAACCAAAATGTCCAAGCCTGGAACAAGACTAGCTGTCGAACAGAATGATCAATTTGGGCAACCAGCGCCTCAGAAAGAAGACAACAGAGCCTCTGCGAAGAAAAGACGCCAGAGCTTCTATGAAGAGACTCAGAGCTTCTGCAAAGAGATGCCAGAGCCTCTGTGGAGAGACACAGTTTTTGCAAAGAGATGCCAGAGCCTCTGTGAAGAGACAGAGAGTCTCTGTGAAAAGATAGTCTTTGAGAAGAATTGTCAGAGTCTCTCAGAAGAGGCAACAGAGTATCTGTAGATAGTGTCAGAGCCTCTGAAGCTAGTGCCAGAGCCTCTGTGGCTAACGTCAGAGCCTCTGATCGAATATGCGACCTCTTCAAGATCATACTCTGAATAAGGTTAATCCTAAAAGACTTAGTTTTCTAATGAAGATTCCAAAATGTGGTCCTAACCTGGAAAATCCAAAAGTACAGAGTTGTTACAATCTAGGTGCATCTAATTAGTATTGATCTTCAATTATGATTAATCTAATGGTAGAGATTTCCTACCTTTTATCAGGATAGCGTTAGTTATGTATCAGAATCGTAAGACCAAAAAGTGGTTTATGTAATAACCAAAAAAAAAGAGAAAGAAATTGAATATAATATTAATGATAGGAAACCCAATGGTCATGAAACCTACAACCATTAATTATGGCTTATCGTTTCATATTTCGTGAAATCGCCGATGACTAAGTATATATATGTGGGGAGGTCTTTATGCATAGAGATGATAAATTCTCGGGGAAGGAAACTCGTATAAGTGAGGTAAAAGATGAGGATGATTTGGTGAAGCGCAACAAGTTTGATGTGTTTTTTTTGGGAGAATATGAGGAACTTCGAGGAACAGTTTGGAGTTATGACATGTATGGTGAGTTATGCGTGATTTATTTTTAAAATGGTTGCATGCATTATTATCTAAAAGTTGTTTGAAGTTTCTCGAGATTTTTGATATGCTATACATGCGTGAAAAGTTCGATATTTTTATAATATGTGTTTTGAGTACTTGTGTGTCAATGAGGATGTACTACGGTATAATTTTATAAAGACGATCATGCTTTGTGAGCTTATCTAAGCCATAAGTGCGGACATGCTGTGTAAGTTCGCCAGGTAATGCTATGTGAGATAGACATCTCCCATGACGCCGTTGCTTTGTGATGTAGACATGCATTATAATATCTTTACTTTGTGAAAAGTATTATTCTCATCAAGTCATGCTAATTTATGAATCTTCGTGAAAATTGTTTATTATAAAGTTGCTGGTTATGCTCCTCAGGATTGTAATTTAGATGGTGATATAATTTGTAAGATTAAAAATTTTATTTCCGCTACAATGTAAGTGTTTGATCTTGGGATACTAGTTTTGTTATATTTAAGTATTCGAAATTTTGGGATGTTACAAGTGGTATCAGAGCAAAAGTTTAAGTGAATTAKGTTACTGAAACCTAAACTTAAACTGAGAATGRAAGATTTTATTATTGATAGACGTGTGACTAAAGATTGACTTATAGTGATTAGAGTGGTGATTTAAGTTAATTTGGGGTTAGTCTTAAACCAAATTAAAGCAGAGAAGTCGTTAGATGGTTTAATATCCTTGGATATAATGACATTGATAGAAATGTGTTTATGCAAAACACATGGTAAGATGAGATAAAATAGATATAGAGACGTGTTGATGGATAAAGTTTTGGTGACAAAATCCACTAATTTGCTTTAGCGGTGAGAGCATATGTTTAATTTTGAGGATAGTAGGAACTCAAAGTATTTGATGATATAGTGAGTTGATTCATCCCATATTTGAGTTGGGGGATCATTTCTTATATTAATTGGTGGAAAGATCAAATAGTTAGATATAATATTAGCAATGAGGTCATTCGTGTAATCAACTATGGCATCCGATCCATGGTAAGAGCTTATGATCTTGATTAGGTGCATGACTAGTTGAAGGATTCTACAATCAAGAGTTGGAATGTCGAAATAATATGTAAATCATATGAGAAGATCTAAGGGTTCTTACATGATTACTTTCTTTAAAGAAAAGACGTCATAATGGTTCGGATGCTACTTGGGAACTTGGTAAGGGGACGAGATTGAGATGTCGTCATTTATTTGCATAGGGCAAATTTCGAGTACGAAATTTTGTTAAGGAGGAAAGTTTGTAATAACCAAACAAAAAGAGAAAGAAATTGAATATAATATTAATGATAGGAAACCTAATGGTCATGAAACCTACAATCATTATTTATGGCTTATCGTTTCATATTCCATGAAACCGCCGATGACTAAGTATATATATGGGGAGGTCTTCAAGCATAGAGGTGAAGAATTCTCGGGGAATGAAACTCATATAAGAGAGGTGAAAGATGAGGATGATTAGGTGAAGCGCAACAAGTTTGATGCATTTTGTGGGAGAATATGAGAACTTTGAGGAACGGTTTGGAGTTATGACATGTATGGTGAGTTACACGTGATTTATTTTTAAAATGGTTGCATGCCTTATTATCCAAAAGTTGTTTGAAGTTTCTCGAGATTTTTGATATGCTATATATGCRTGAAAAGTTCGATATTTTTATAATATGTGTTTTGAGTACTTGTGTGTCAATAGGGATGTACTACGGTATGATTTTGTAAAGATGAGCATGCTTTGTGAGCTTGTCTAAGCCGTAAGTGCGGACATGCTGTGTGAGTTCGCCAGGTAATGCTGTGTGAGGTAGACATCTCTCATGACGCCGTTGCTTTGTGATGTAGACACGCACTATAATATCTTTATTTTGTGAAAAATATTATTCTCATCAAGGCATGTTAATTTATGAAGCTTCGTGAAAATTGTTTATTATAAAAGTTGTTAACCGTGGATTCACTGGGCCTAAAGTTCACCCAAAACTCTTTTAAAACTTTTTCACCCAGGCGGCTATTAGACTGGAAAGAAAAGTTGGATAAAGAGAGATATAGGGATTAACATCAAAGAAGGACATGTGTAGATCAAGACATTGTTATATAGAACAAAGTTATGTTCTTCAAGATTGTAATTTTAGATGATGATATAAATTGTAAGATTAGAAATTTTATTTTCGTTGCAATGTAAGTGTTTGATCTTGAGATACTAGTTTTGATATATTTAAGTATTCGAAATTTTGGAATGCTACAGTTTAGTGGACGGATCCAACTTTCCACATATAAACATTTTCAAATTGTTGATAGAGCACTTGAATCATGATTCAATTTCTAACGCTAATTCTCCTCCTCCTTATCGTTTCATATGTTTTCTCGATTGTTTACAGCAATCGAAGATCTGGTACGACCAAAATCAATCTTCCACCGGGAAGCTTTGGATGGCCGTTCGTCGGAGAATCTCTGTCGTTGCTCCGTGCAGGTTGGGAAGGAGTTCCGGAGAGATTCGTTCAGGAACGGGTGGAGAAACATGGAAATCCTCTAGTTTTCAAGACGTCGTTGCTTGGTGACCGTATGGCTGTGTTCTGTGCTCCTGCCGGCAACAAATTCCTGTTTGGGAACGAGAACAAGCTGGTGGCCGCATGGTGGCCGTCGCCGGTGAGGAAGCTTTTCGGCAGGTGTCTGATTACGATTCGTGGCGATGAAGCTAAGTGGATGAGGAAGATGTTGTTATCGTACCTCGGTCCTGAGGCTTTCGCCAGTCACTATGCGGCCACCATGGACATCGTCACTCGTCGCCATATCCAAATTCACTGGCAAGGTATTATTATTATTATTATTATACTTTACTCTCTTATGGCGGGTACTATTTTTCACCTTTTTAACGATTCGAGTTTAATTAAGGGAAGATTTTACCTAATTCTTATTTTGTGGAACCAACTTTTAAAATCGTTATTTTGTAGAACCAATTTGCATTTGATTCTTATTTTGGAGATCAAACTTACAAAATAATTATAGAAAAATAACTAAAATTCGTTTTTTTTCAAAAATTAATACAATAAAATCTATTTTTCATTTCAAATCTCATTTTTTTAATTCAAATATCAAATTGAACATTTAAAAAAAAATCCAAATTACCACTATAAAAGTTGTTTTTTTACTAATGCAAAAAAAATCAATTTAATAGAAAAAATTAATTGATGCAATTGGTTAGATATAAAAATCTTGAATGTGATATTTAATATTTATTTTTTATTGTATCAATTACTTTAACCCAAAAGTTAAAAATAGATTTTTTTGCAAAAATCGGGTCAGGCCGGGCCGTGCCCGTAACCGTCCCCAAACCGGTCCTGGGTCAGGCCTTGGTTTTTGACGAAAATTATAACGGGTCTTTATGAGAGAGCTTATAATGCATATAACGAGTAATGTTATTTTTCAAATGACGGAATATCGAACTTATACGTTTCTACAAAGGCAAGGAGGAAGTGAACGTATTCAAAACCGTGAAATTATACGCCTTCGAGCTGGCGTGCCGTTTATTTATGAGCCTGGAGGAACCAACCCACGTTTCGAAACTCGCTTCCCTCTTCAACATCTTCTTGAAAGGCATCATTGAACTACCTCTAGAGATCCCAGGAACACGTTTTTATAGCTCTAAAAAAGCAGCAGCAGCTATTAGGACCCACCTTATGATCATCATCAAAGATCGAAAGATGGCACTTGCGGAAGGAAAGGCATCGTCTTCGCAAGACCTCCTGTCTCATTTGCTCTCATCTTCGGACGAAAATGGCAAGTATTTAACCGACAAGGAGATTGCAAACAACATCTTGTTACTACTCTTTGCCGGTCACGATACCTCCACCGTGTCTATCACGTTGGTCATGAAGAGCATCGGCGAACACCCTGATGTTTACGACAAGGTGTTTAGAGGTCAGTTGTATGCTCCCATTCCTCCTTTCGTCCACTACCACAAAATCAGGTTTATAGAACGTCAAATATCTGTAAATGTGTTATGCTATGCATATTTAGGACACTTTATTTCAAAAACGTCTTAAAAGACGTGTTGGGATGTTCAAATAGGTACTAACATCCTATTTGTAACACCTTTATATATTACGTTACGATTATTTGGTTAATTTTGTTGATCAAGTTTGAATGAGAGATTGTTTGCAGAGCAAATGGAGATTTGTAATGCAAAAGAAGGTGGGGATTTGCTGAAATGGGAAGACATACAGAAGATGAGATACTCGTGGAATGTTGTATCCGAAGTTATGAGACTAAACCCCCCGGTCACTGGCGCCTTTCGAGAGGCTCTCGTGGATTTCGAGTACGCAGGTTATACCATTCCCAAAGGATGGAAGGTATGTAACGAATTATAACTATCGGGCCGTTTACCAAATGCTTGCCAGCAAAATTCAACACTATCACACACTTACCGGATAATATTTTAGTTCATCAAAAAGGTATCGTATGCAACAATTTATCTGGTAACCGCTAACCATGATGAGAGTCATCATCCTCACTTACCGGATAAGACTTTTGGTCTTTGTCTTCGCTCTTACCGAGGAAGATTCTTGGTCCTTGCCATATTTATCCGGTAAAGTAATATGACTTAGTAAGCGCTTACCTGGATAAGCGTTTGAAAAACGTAGCCTATATTTAGAACGATCGTATTGTAATGCCAGTCGCCACCCTAACAACTCTTTAGACACTAAACTTGCGTCCGTGTCGCATTTTCAGCTATACTGGAGTGCGGTATCGACACATAAAGACGAAGCTAACTTTAAAGACGTGATGCGGTTTGATCCATCGAGGTTTGAAGGCACAGGGCCACGTCCGTTTACATTTGTGCCGTTCGGAGGGGGTCCTAGGATGTGTTTAGGGAAAGAATTTTCACGATTACAAGTACTTGTATTCCTTCACAACATCGTCACTAATTTCAAATGGGATTTGTTGATACCGAACGAGAAAATCGAATACGACCCCATGGCTACCCCGGCGAAAGGGCTTCCGGTTCGTCTTCATCCTCATCAAGTTTGATGAATACAAGGTTGAATCGATGAATGTATAGTAGAGTATTGTAATGAATCTCCATGCTTTCTTAAGTGAGATGATACTGGTGAACATTATGAGGCACACGAGTGTCACCAGAGATTATATGGTTTCCATTTGCATATACAGCAATACTAATGATAACAAGCATATCGTGTAATTCTACCATGTTTGGAACTTAAATCTACTATAAACGTATTTGTGTAATGCAACGAGATATATTTTGATTTGAATGTTTTGTTTTTTTTTTGTCTTTGTCGATATAATACAATTTTATACGGTTTTCAGAAAATGATGATGTTTTTATTTCTGAGTCAAATATAAACTTGAAAAAAAATATTAGTAATAGTATCAAATTAACTACTTAAAAGTTCTCGTTTTTTTTTAATTTCTTTAATCCAATTTTTTGTTACAATTCAATATAGGTTTTATAAATAAGTAATTTATTTTTGGTTTAATAATATCATTTTTAAGACAATAATCAAGTATTCTATTACAACTCAATGATTATCATAATTATATTTTAGATTTTTTTGTATTTAAGATGATATATTTATCATGTATTTGATTATATTTATCCGTAGTTAGTTATACGAATTCAAATATAGAGTTTTTATAAGTTGTACTTACGTAAAATTTACTTGTAATCTTGAATTTTAAGTAATATGCATCAATAATCAGTACTTCATGCATAAAAAATGGTTTTTAAAAGTTTTTGTCAAATGTTTTATAATATAGTATAGATTAAATTGTCTTTAAGTATTAATCTGTTTGGATAAATTAAGATAAATTGTTGTTTGTTTTTTGTTTTAAATAAATAATCTAAACAATAAAAATTACCATTTTAACCTTTTGTCGATATAAATTTTGAATGGAAATAAATTGTTTGATGAATATTTAAAATAACTAAAATGATATGAATTCAACAAGTTCAAAACACAATACTTAATAACTCAAAATATATGTAAAACAAAAAATGCATGTTGGCAAACCATTTATTATTTATGAGATGTGTGATTAATTAATATTATAGGATAAGGGTAATTTTGGAAAACATTCCCACTTAATGCATTAAGATATAATAAGCTAACTTAAGATATTAAGTCAATCTCTTAATATTAAGTTAAGGTCAAGCACGTTAATATAACTTAACCAATTAAGCTAACTATCCATTAAGTTTATTAAGTTGAAAAGAAACATCCCCTTACACATCTTTTATTTGATAAATGATTGAACCTGACCATATTTTGTACTCATGTTATGGTTATATAAACAAATATATTGCTAATGGGCCGTTTACCAAACGCTTACTCGGGTAAGCGTTTATCAAGTAACATTACCTCAACGCATGAATACGGTAAAGACCAATAATCTTACCCGATAAGAGCGAGACAAGGACCAATAGTCTTATCCGGTAAGTAAGGGCGACCGACTCTTACCGCGGTAAGCGCTTAACGGGTAAATTGTTACATACGATGTTGTTTTGGTGGACTAAAATCTTACCCGGTAAGTAAATAATAATGTTAAATTTTACCGATAAGCACTTACCGGGTAAGTGTTTGGTAAACAGCCCCTAAGAGTTAAATGTAAATTTGGTCCTAAAAATTAGCTAGTAAGGTTCCTAAAAAGAATTTTTAAGTAAGAGCATCCTTATGGTTTCATTTTTATAACAGATATGATCCCTCTTAATAACACTGACAGTCAGAGTAACGTTAGTGAGGGGTAGTATAGTCCATTAACTGTTCCTCTCCATCTACTTTCATTTTGTAACACATTTGCTCCTTCCATCTACTCTCAATTTTATAAAAAATTTGGTCCCTCTCATTTTAATTGATACACATAAAAAAATTATTATTGTTAAATAGATATAAAAATATAAATTAACTAATTTGCTTCATCTGATTAATACACAAAAAAAATTGATTATAGTTAAAGGATAAATTAATAAAAATATAAATTTATATAAAGGAAAATTTGCATTAAAATGGAACAAACTTTAGATTAATTCCTATTTTAAGAAACCAACTTTTAAACTCTTCATTTTAGTCTCTAGACCAAAGTTTTCTTATATTTAAGATAAGCAAAAATTATAAAGTTTTCATACTTATACTTATTTTATACTAAGAATGCTAAGAATTAAGTTTTAGGAAGTGTGGGCATGTTTGGATATGACTTTAGGATTGTGAAAGAAGCCATTTGGTTGCAAAACTCGATTTGGGGACTTGCTAGTGATTTTATTCATCTTCTCCAAGCATTTAAGAGCTCTCAAAGATGAAGATTTCAAGTCTAGATCCAAGATTCAAAGTTCTTCTTCTCCAACCATTTCCACCATTGTTGACCTAGTTTTGGGTTTTCATGAAAATGAACTCTAAGTTCATCCTAACCTTTCTAAACCCTTATTCTTATTAAAAGCTTACATTTTAACCTCCTAAAACATCCGTTTTGGTGTATCTCTATTATCTTGAGTTTTTGATCATTTTTGGTGTTTTAGGTGATTTGAGATTTTGGCTAAAGATTCTATGGATATGATTTTGGGTTACTTTTGGTACATCTCTAGGCTTGGTTGAGACTAAGGTAAAGTTCCTAGAGGTGGGTATGGACGTATCTAAAGCTTTCACCATTTTGGAAGCTAGAGATGGATTTAGAATTTAGGTTTAATCTAGCATAGCAAGGTGAGTTAAAGTTATCTTATGAAAACTATGTATGTGTCAAAAATGTCTATTTTAATGTAATGAAAATGTTTTCCTTAATGTTTAAAAAATGTGGTTAATGTTTGATGAGGTTTGCATTTTTGTACAAAGGGTTTATAAAAATCTTGAGAAATGCTTGTATTTGATGTTTTAGACATTTGATAACTAAACCATAAGTGTGAAGTCTTTTGACTATTCATTTCATAAATGGAGTGTTTGGTGATAAATGCATCTTTAGTGTATTTGGTTTAGAAGATGCACATTATTATGCTTTGGGGCCTTTTGGAAATATAATGGGTATGGTTTTAATTGGAAAATAATTTGTCTTAACCAATGATGCATTTTGAGTTATTAATAGTTATTTGGAGCATGTAATTGCATAAACATCGGTTAATTATGTTTTATTGCTTTTAATGACTTTTATTGTATAGTCAATCGGGTTATTGAGCTTTTGGCTCGGTTTTAACTCGGATGAGTTTTGGGGACATTTGTCCAGTTTTATTTGCTCTATATTGAGTTTCGGACATGATATACATTTATTGCATTTTGTTGTTTTAGGTCATTCATTTATAGTCATGTATTTTAGACTGTAATGTGTTGGATCCATAGGCATATGTGTCAGTCATGTTTTGTCAAGTGATGAGTTTTTATGTTCTCGTCTTGGAGCCATAAGGTTTAGATAAGTAAAGAATTTTGATGTTCTCAGCTTGAGCCTTTTTTTGGTTTGTAACAAGAGAGAAGTTTTGAGGTTCTCTTCTTAATATCAATGGTTTGGGACAAAGCGAGAAGTTTTGATGTTTTCACCTTAGAACTTTTGATTTAAGGCAAAGGAGGAGTTTTGATGTTCTCATCTTGTAACATGGAGATCGACTAAGTAAGGAGTTTTGATGTTCTTATCTTAGCCCCAATTAGAGTAATTACCAAGGCTTATATGTTGGGGGTGATTTACTCGTCAACATCTCTATGTGGCTTACTTAGTGTTTCGCCACTTCATGGAAACGGGTCTCCCCGTCACCGAGATGTATTATTTTTGGATAATGTATTATTCATGTTTTCGATGTTATTTTCTATACATAATGTATCTTTATTTTATAGTCTTGGTACCTTGGAATTTATCCATGTTTGTTTCTTTGGACACTGACCCTTTTTCATGTCTATGGAAGTTTTGGAAAATAGAGCTTTATCCATGTTTTTGGTATTCGGATATAAATCCTTCCGCATTCTGTGTTAGTATTTGGGTTTTAATTTCATGTTTGATGCGTATTTCGATTAATGGGTTTTTATCACAAAGATGGTGGTTTTTGGGAAAGATGTTACTTTTATTCTAAATACATTTCATCTTGGAAATTTGGGATTTAAATACCAATCTTTTCATTTTACCGTTTTATATAAATGATGAAAATTGTTTGACTTACTAGGCATTAAACTAACCTTTTTTTTCTTTGTCGGCATGTGCATCAGGTCCTTGGGAAATGGTACTAGCGACACTGACTTGATGAGTGCTAGTTAGAGGCACACGAATGAATTAGCCATCCAGGAGACATCTTTCATATGTTGGGTTAGCGTCTGACATTGGAATTTAGTAACACTCATCCCTTATTGTAGACTTGTGTAAATGTTAATATGTTTTACTGATGTTAAACTTATATTGTCATTTTAGGTGATTAAATATTGGATTTAAAATGAGGACTAAATCCTTAATTGATGCATCGCAGAAATTTTTAATTAGTCGTTTTTTTTTTCAAATTTGAAGATGTTACATCATTTACCTATTGAGGACGTAATCGGTTATGTAAACATGATGTGGCAAATAAATGTTCTATTAAAGCTTTTGTGGAAACTAAAAGAACCATATCATTACTACTAGAAATAAAATAAAACAAAACAAATATTAAATTATCAAAAGGATCCACAGCAGTATATCTATACTACCTTATAAACCATATTTGATAAATGTCTTAAAGTCTTAAATATAACATGTAAAACACAAAGTACTGCTTCTTAAAGCATAATTTTAAAAGTCTCTTGATTACCACGTGAAAATCTTTATGTACAACTTATCAATACTTAAAAAAAAATTAGTTGAGACGTTTCATTGCTCAACTGATTACCCCAAAGTGACTGCTTCATAGCTCAATTGCTTTTAGGTTCCCAACTTCACCGCAGACACGCTTCTCTCCTCAAATTGATCTCCCCAATATGACGATTCAAGCTTCCATTACTGATTCAGTGTCGTATATATCAATAAAGTTAGCGGGTGTTTTGTTCACATAATGGAATTTGATGGAATTGACATTCATCAAAGGAATTTGACTTTGAAGGAATTGTAATGGAATTTGATCACGCATTTGGTTGGTAGAAATTAGAATGAAATCTCTCAAAAGAATTAAAACAATCGTCTTTGTTTGGACTATCTCACTCATCGCCCCACTCGTCGTCACATCTATCACCCTGTCCCACTCCTATCAAAACCCTACCCCACCCCTGCTCCATAGGTGGGGATTTTGGGGGCAGGCAGGGTGGGACGAGATGGTGGGGACAGAGTGGGAATGGCTGACAGGGTGGTAGCTACGATTACTATAGTGGTAGGCTGGTGGTTAGTGGTGGGTTGGAGTAGGGTAAGGTGGGACAGGGGTGGGGGAGGGCCAGGTGGCAGGGTGGTAGCTATGACGATGATAATGGTGGTATAGTGGTTGGGTGGTTGGGCCTGGAGTGGATGTATATGATGACAACAATAGTGGCATGGTGTTTTAGTGGTAGGTTGAGTGGGGTGAGGGTGAGTGGCGGTTGTGAAGGCGCCGATAGTGGTGTGGGGGTGGGGGGTTAGGTTAGGGGTAGGGTGGGGCAGCAGGGCAGGGCAGGGCGGTGGGGCATGGGTAGCGGGATGATAACTGTGACGACGACAGTGGTGGGAAGGTGGTCAGGTAGCTGGGATTGGATGGGTATGACAACGACAATAGTGGCATGGTGGTTAGTCGTGGGTTAGGTGGGGTGAGTGGCAATTGTGACAGCGACAATAATGGTGTGGTGGTGGGGGTTAGGTTAGGGGCATGACAGTAACAGTAGTAGCATGGTCGTAGTAGGGATGTGCAATGAGTGACTGGGGGTGGACGGGTGTGATGTCAACAATAGTGGCATGGTAGTAGTGGTAGGGTAGGGTGGGTGGCGGCGACAGTAGTGGTATGGTGGGGGTTGGGGGGGTTAAGGGTGGGGTATGACAAACAATAGTAACATGGTCGTGGTGGGAGGTGATTGAATCCAATTTCTTCCATTATGCCAAGGAATGATAAATTCATTAATTTATAGAATTCAATGGAATTTGAAAGATTTCATTCATTTCAAAAAATGAACCAAACAAAAGAATTGGAATTTGATCAAAGGAATTTATCATTCCAATTCCATCAAATTCCCTTGAATTCCGCAAACCAACTGGCCCTTTAGGGTTCTTATCCACTCTTCTATCAATCATTTTGCTCTCTACTAGAATCAATTCATCCCACTCTTCAAGCTTCCATTTTATTTTCCATAGCTCCTCTACTGGAATCAATCCATAGCTCATCTATTAGAATCGAGGTAATTAGTTTTCCATACGGTTCGCATCGCTCCTCTACTCGAATCGATTAATCTATTATAATCGAGGTAATTACTTTTCGTTATGAATGATCCCCAGGATCAAGCCATATCAATCTGAAGAAATAACATTTCATCTCCAAGTATGATTTTATTTAGTTTCGTTTGAATTTGGTTTTAAAGCTCGATATCAAATTGGGTTTTTTTTTATTGTAGATGGCTCTATAAAACTCAATCATATCAATCTAAAGAAGTAACATTTCATCTCCTTATAAAATTTTATTTGGTTTAATTTTATTCATTAATTTATATAAACTATAAGGACTAAGTTTGCATTTAACTCTACTGCTAATTATATCCACACTCTCCATTTTAAAGATACTTAACAAATCCCACAAATTTCTAAATTAATAAAATAAAGATCCACAAGAAACCATTGCTCAAAAGTAAAATACTTGATCAAAACCTTTTTGCTTCAACTTGATATGAAGATTGACATGACAAAACATTGGAGAGGGAATGACACAAGATAACAAAAAGACTGATGCAACTTTTTTCTCATTTCTACTCAGAAACCATCATCATACATGCCTTTGCCTTTCCTGCATATGTGATTCAACACAGGACTCACTACCTATATCTAACATAATTCTGCAAAACCAAATCCCCTTCTTTGCTTATTACTCAACCTTCCTCACCTGCCTGCCTTCCTTAGTATCCATACCCTGAACAAACATCATCATCAATCCCTTAGCCACTTGAAAGAAAACCAAAATTGTTATATCAAAATTCACAAGAAGGAAGATCTAAAGTCTACCTGAATTGTCCATTGGGTTTCCAGCAGGCACCGCTTCAGGTTCCTTGATCTCTACCACTACACAATCCGACATCAAGAATGTTTTTGCCACCGATGAAGCATGCTCCAGACAACACCTCACCACCTGAACAACATCATCATCAGTATGCATATTTAAGTATATAACACCCAACTCGCATGAATCAAACAACACATAGCTTCTGGTGCACTGCTTCTTCACCTTTGTTGGATCGATGATTCCAGCAGACATCAAATCTTCATATTTATCAGTTGCAGCGTTATATCCATATCTCGCATTATCATTAGCCAAAACCTGACACAGATACAACAGTTGAACACATGATGCAGGGGTTCTAAACCATAATATCTTTCTCAAGTGTCAAGTACATACCTTCTCACTAACAACACTTCCATTAACGCCTGCATTCTTTGCAATCAACTTAAGAGGGTAACTCAAAGCTCTCTTAACAATATCCGCTCCAACCTGCACGCAATTTTATCAACCCACTACTGTCAACGAGGAAGGACTTCAATAACCATATCCAAAACCCCAAGATTTAAAAAGATAATATATTACTGCACCAGCTAACGTAACAAAGGAACATACCTTTTCCTCATCATTAGCAAGGGTCTCCTTGATAGCATCCACTTTAGAGGCAAGCCTCAACAGAGTGCACCCACCACCAACAACTATTCCTTCCTCCACAGCAGCCTACAAACAGATAATGTTGCATACTTGTTACACCTTTAGCTTCTGATTACTTCAAAAGAGCCACAACAACTTAGTAAAGCATATCCATAGATAACTCACCTTTGTTGCATTAAGAGCATCTTCTACTCTAAGTTTCTTCTCCTTCAGCTCTGTCTCAGTTTGTGCTCCAACCTAGAGTGTGCAATTGGAACCAGAATAAGCAAACATAATTTCATCACTCATCATATCTACACAAAACCCCTTAAGTCAACCTTCACTACTGACCTGAATGACGGCAACACCTCCCGAGAGTTTCGCAATTCTTTCATTAAGCTTTTCCTTTTCATAATCCTGCTCTGCTACCTGTTTGGATAAACAATACAAAGCAAGAATTAATGGGAAATCCAATAACCAGGAGCAATGCCTGCACGTGAGGAAACAAGTGGCAGTCTCAAGTTTTAACCTCAATAAGGTTTCTAATTTGTGCCACGCGCTTTTCTACTGCTCCTTGAGTGCTCCCATCACCAACTATTGTAGTAGAATCCTTGGAGAGAACCACCTTGGCCGCATGCCCCAAGACAGAACTGTCGGCCTTGTCTAAGGTAAGCCCCACCTCATCTCTAATAACAGTCCCTGTATGGAGAAAAATATCAACATATATATAGCAAAGAAAGGTAATTGACAAAAACAATCAAATACAGGGAAAAAGGGAAAGCTATAGACAGATCTCTAGAAAAATAACCTCCAGTCAAGATAGCAATGTCATCAAGATATTGGCTCTTCCGCTCTCCAAAACCTGGAGCTTTCAGTGCAGCTATCTTTAATGCTCCTCTAAGTTTGTTCACAACAAGAGTTGCCAAAGCTTCTTGTTCAATATCTTCAGCAATTATGACTATAGGGTAGCCATTTTTGATGGCATCTTCCAGCACACTAATAAGATCCCTTGCATTTGTTACTTTCTTGTCTACCAATAGCAACTGCACACGTATAACCAATGAACAAGTAATTAGATGAGCTTTATAAATTACCCAAATTCCCCAATTTTTACCATAAGTCAGTTCTCCTTCATTGATTTTAAGTCACAAAAACTTGTCTCACATTTGGTGGGACAATTACACTGAGACTGGACAGGACAGGACTATGGGGGGAAACAATGCATTTTTCTGTCACGTCACTAAAGGTGGAACAAAAATTACGAATATAGTACAAGCTTGGTAAATTACTAAACTACCATGTTAAATTAAAACCCTAAACCTTCCACAATTCTTTCTCCCTTCCAGTCCTGTCAAGTCTCGTATATCAAAAGCACACCATGTTAAAGCCCATGTAAAAAGCACAGAGAAACAGGTCTAATAGAGAAAAGCATGGACTACCTTGCAGTTCTCGTATTCAGCAACCATTTTCTCGCTATCAGTTACAAAGTAAGGTGAGATGTAACCACGGTCGAACTGCATGCCTTCAACAACATAAAGACTGTTTTCGGCACTTTTCCCCTCTTCAAGGGTCACCACACCCTTGCGTCCCACTTTACTCATAGCTTCAGCTATCATGTTTCCTACTTCATAATTGTTCCCAGCACTAACTGCAGCAACATCAGCTAGTTCACTATCTTCCACCTACAACGTCAAAATTATCAAAAATATCCAACCAGTTTATGCTACCACAAAACTTGCACATGATTTTAGCAAAGGCAATGTGGTCCAGTGAATTACCTCCTTTGAAATCAGCTTGAGCTCAGCCACCAAAGCTTTAGTTGTCTTCTCAATGCCTCTGGTAATAAGAACAGGATTTGCACCAGCTGCCACAACCTAATAACAACAATTACATTATTCAACCACCAAACTGACCCAGTAAATCCTACTCAAGAGTAGGGTCTGGGATGAAATGTTCTCTACCCAAAAAGAGTAAAGCTGTGTTTTCATGAAGACTAGCATATCGTGAAAGAAGGTAAGGAATAAAGACTAACATATGGTGAGGGAAGCATGAGAAAAATAAGAAAAAGTAATGAGTGGAACACTTTCATTGTTTACAGAGATGGAAACAGCAACACAAAGCATGAACAACAAAAAATAGAAGAATGCTAGATAAAACTGACCCAGTAAATCCCACTCGGGAGTAGGGTCTGGGATGAAATGTCCTCTATCGAAAAAGACTAAAGCGGTGTTTTCATGAGGACTAGCATATCGTGGAAGAAGGTAAGGAATAAAGACCAACATATGGTGAGGAAAGCATGAGAAAAGTAAGAAAAAGTAATGAGTGGAACACTACCATTGTTTACAGAGACGGAAACAGCAACACAAAGCATGAACAACAAAAATAGAAGGATGCTAGATAAATTTGAGCGTGTAAGAATTTTCAGACAGACCTTAACACCTTCTGTAATAAGACCTTGTGCAAGAACAACTGATGTCGTTGTTCCATCTCCAGCCAAATCATTGGTCTTGGCAGCCGCTTGTCTAACCAGTTTTGCACCAATGTTCTCCACTGGATCCTCCAATTCCACCTATAAGCCAAAAAAAACACCATAAGAGCCCGTATTATTCTTGATCTAATAACAATTAATTTCCAAATCTACCATGAGTTAAGACATATAATATAACATCACAACTAATGAGCCTTTTCATCTTTGTATTAAAGAATGATCACCTCCTTGGCAACAGTGACCCCATCATTAACGATTTTCGGAGCACCATACTTGCTTTCTAGAACTACATTTCTTCCCTTTGGGCCAAGAGTAACCCCAACTAGATCAGCAAGTTTGTTCACACCAATCTGCCACAAAACAAAATAGATTGATTAGTGACAAGAGCATGGAGTAAGAACTCAACTTCATTACAAACTATCAATGCTCATCACTTATTGTTGACTCACTTGTAGCTTCTTTATAGCTGACCCATCCTTGTTAAAGTATAATTCCTTTGCTGCAGCTTTAATTTGGGAAGTTCTAAGAGATCTTCGGAGGGCAAGATTCTGTCCCCTGCCCAATGAGCTAGAAGATATCGAAGCAAAAGAAGATAACTTGTTTGAGGATGTTGACAGATTCTTATCCATCACCCTGTTACTGGTAGAAGCCAACGATCCAACAGACGAGATGCCAGCAATCGACGAAGCCATCTATCTCACCAAAGCGATCATCAAGATTACTCTTAATCAAACAATGTAAGTTATAATGGTAACATCATAAACCTTTCAGCTATTTGTCAATATACACATAATCTTCTCAAAAACATATCTTACAAACCCAAAAAACACACAAACTTGGAACTCTCCAGCTAAGAGCCACTGAACAGATAATGGAATTCCCTAACCCACAAAACATTGTCAAAACAAAATTGCATCATAAACATAAAACAGAAACAAGCCACCTACCAAATCAAAACACACACTTTTGTATGGAATACAAAATGAATATGAACAGTGTTACAAACCTAACCCTATCATCATTCTATCCGTACCAGTAATAGATATTTGAATGCTAAAGATTCAAAATCATTCAAATTACAAGTAGAAAAGCGCTCCACAAGCTTTTGAAACTGATGGAGCTCTGCAAATCATCTATAAGCAAGCAATATTCTGATAACCAAACAAAAAGAAAGATTTATGTAGTTTGTATACGAATTAACTTACCAGATAAGATGGTGAAGATCGAATGCGTAAACACAAAAATGGAGTAGCGAGAGAGAGAGCGAGCGACGATGGGGTTTATCAAGTTAGGTTAATGCAGTAGGAGAGAGCGTAGAGTTATATATAGTAAGATAAACGATCCCGTTTTGGTCTTGAAGGTTCGGATGGATTGGAGCCGTTGGATTGGTCATCTGAGGATTGGATTTATTTTTGCACCGGAATCCTCTAGAAGGACGTTATACCATGTCATTTTTTAAAATAATATAGAATATATATATTGGAAATTACATTTCTACCTACCATTTTTCGATATTAATATTATATTTATAAACGAATCGAACGTTCAGTAAACCGTTTAATGGGAAGTTCATTTATATTTATTTATTTAATAAATAAACGAACATGAACAAGTTTTTTTTTATAATGAACAAACGTCTTATTCATGCATTTATGTTCGTTAATGTTTGTTGATGATAATAAATTAAAAATTAAATAATAATAATAATAAAGTAAAGAGTTTAATTTTTTTGGATTTTTTTAAGAAAACTAATGGATTTAATTTTAGTCAACCCATCGTGTCACTTATATAGCTGCTTGGTTGGATGCATTTTTCTCCACATTAGGCTTAATCTTTCCAACCATCATACGTTAGTGAAAATTAACAAATTTTCCTCCGGTCTCTACTACATAAATTTGATCCTCACCTCTTAAAAACTCAACTGATTCACTACTCACAGGTGGCTTGAGCCTATGTGGTTTAAGCTCTACTATTTGTTTAAGTCTGTTCGTCTGTTTGTTATGTACATTTATTTATGTTCATTTAGCATCTTAATGAGTGAATATAAAAGAACACTAACACAACCATTTCTTAAACGAATGAATACGAATACAAAGAATTTTGTTCGTTTACTATTTGTGTTTATTCGATTAAGTTAAACAAACAGACATGAACGAGTTTGTTTGATTCGTTTACAAGCCTAACTAATAATATCATAAGCAAAATCGAGGAGACTATTCATACCAACAAAACTGCAAAGGAGATATTCGTAAAATATTTGGGAAAAGGAAAGGAATATTGTCCCGAATTAAAAGCTTTGCGAGTCCATGAAGCAAAATGGTGAAGGTGAGGTTTTATGTTTTTATGAGGGTATTTTTGTCATTTTAAAAATACTGGTTGGAATGGAATTCAATTTCACGTGGAATAATGAAATCTATTGTTGAGGAAATGTTTGGACTTCAAATTTATTCCATGGATAAACCAAATGCCGGAATTGACCATTTTAATTCTATTAAGGCATGATTTGACAAACATAAGCTAGTTTATAAGTTAGTTTATTTTTTTAATACACGTTTAAATAGACATAAATTAATTTATAATTAGCTTGTTGATAAGCTAATTGGAATAGTTTATAGGAATTTTTTTACCATTTTTTCCAATCATGATCATTTATAAATAAATATTAGTAAATATATATTATTAAAAAATCAATAAAATTAACTATTATTAATATTAATAAATGGTAATTAATATTAATAAAAATTATTAATTAATTTTGATTATACATTAATCTTAATTATTATTTATTTCCAAGTTATTGTTAGGGCATCTCCAACCTTGATGCTAAAAAAAACACCAAATAAGTGGGCCCGTTAACACCAAAAAGATACTCAACTCCAACCTTTTGCCGTTCACCTCTTCCACGGCAAATTTGCCGTTCATTTCCTTCCTCCGGCAAAATTTTGGTGTTTTTGGCGTGCGATTGGATCCAAAAGAACGGCAAAATTAGGGTTTTGCCGTTCGATTGGAGTTGCTCTTAATCATATCAATTGTTTTTATATTATTATTCAATACATTTAATTATAAAAAGCTTGATATAATAATTCTAAATATGTTTATTTAAGTTATATAAAAATTAAAGTTACATTTATGTTGTCTCATGGATAATAAAATTGTGTTAGATATTTTTAATAAAATATTTAAATTTTATTATTAATTATATTTTTTGAAAAAATTATTTAATTGATTAGGATATGTGAAGTTGACAAATTTTATTTTTATTCGTGTTATATGTCATGGTTCTTTAAAATCATAAAATAGCTTATATTTTTTCTAAAACTTGTTTTAATAAATTCAAAATTTATGGTATATAATCAATTTTAAATTCTTTTAATTAACATATTATATTATTTAAAAGAAAATTACCATATTATTTGTATTAGTTAACATATTATATTATTTGAAGTTTGTTTTATTTTAAAATATTATAGTTGCCTAATTTTTTTTAAACGCTTTTAGTTACTTTACATGTTTATTAACTATTTTTTACTATTTGGCAATTGCTGAATAGTTTAGTGCAGAGTGATTAAGAGACTCTCATGATATAATACAAAATGAAATATAATTGTTTGGTAATTGTGTACAATGAAATTAGGGCCCTTAATGGTTAAGGGAGATTCATAATACAAAATCATTCAAAGAGTTTTAAAATTATTAAGAGACATACTTTTTTTTTGCCAAACAAGATTCACATCTTAATGATTCAGAGGTTATCTCTTAATGAAACTATTAAGAGATAAACAAATAACCCCTAAACATGATTTATTTATCAGCTGACTTATCAGTCATCGGTTAGTGTTGGTCCCGAAAGGGTCTACAAGAATATAAACAGTTTGTAGAAGGGGGGATGAATACAAACACATTATTTTCAAATTTAAAATATATATTGATAGAGAAGATCAATACATATTTTACAAGACTGTTTGCGGAAAGATAAGTCAAGAACTGGTTCAAGATGCAGGAACAATTTCGTGTATATTTCATGAACTGATTACAATAATATATACAAGAGTACAATGCAGACAATATGGAAATTATAAACTCCTTAAATGACTAGCCTCTATCTACGGAATGTATAGCAAGAAATGGGTGGAGAAGATTGAATAATTCAATTCATAATCATTCTATAATTAGCTCTAGTCAACACTCCCCCTCAAGTGGAGAATGGATGTCTATCATTCCCAGCTTGTCAAGAGAGCTATGAAAAATCCTTCCACACACTGCTTTCGTCAGAATATCTGCGAGTTGGTCTTTTGAGGGAACCAACGGAAGTTCGATTGTACCTTTTTCTAAGTGATCCTTAATAAAGTGCCGATCAACCTCCACATGTTTGGTCCTATCATGATGAACATGATTATTTGCTATCTTAACAGCCGCTTGATTGTCACAACCTAACTTCATCGGATTTGTGAGACCGATACCGAGGTCTCTCAATATTCGTTTTATCCACAAAAGTTCACATACACCATGAACCATTCCTCGCAGTTCAGACTCCGCACTTGATCTAGCAACAACCTTTTGTTTCTTGCTTCTCCATGTGACCAGATTACCTCCAACGAACGTAAGATATCCGGATGTTGACTTTCCATCAGTCTCGTTTCCTGCCCAGTCGGCATCCGTGTATCCACTTATCTCTTTACTTTGATTCTTTGCGAAAAAAAAGTCCTTTTCCTGGAGACGACTTCAAGTATCTCAGAATTCTGTATATAGTTTCCATGTGATCTTCACTCGGAGCATGCATAAATCGGCTAACAACACTTACAGCATATGCTATGTCAGGGCGAGTATGAGACAAATAGATTAACTTCCCGACCARCCGCTGGTACCTTTCTTTGTTCGTTGGGACCTGATCCGGATGAATCATTAATCCGTGGTTTACTTCCATAGGTGTGTCTGTCGGTCGACAGTCAAGCATCCCAGTTTCTGCGAGAAGATCCAACACATACTTTCATTGACACATAGATATGCCCTGCTTTGATCTTGCTACTTCTATACCCAAAAAATACTTTAAATTTCCAAGATCTTTTAGTTCAAATTCTGTCGCCAGAACCTTTTGAAGATTTAATATCTCCTTTGAGTCATTTCCAGTGACAACCATATCATCTACGTATACAATCAATGTTGTTATGTTCTTCTTTTGTCTCTTCACGAATAGAGTGTGATCCGCATCACTCTGTTTGTACCCGATTTTCTTCATGAAGCTAGAAAATCTCCCAAACCACGCACGTGGAGATTGCTTTAGCCCGTATAATGCTCTGTKTAGCTTACATACTTTGCCTTTGCAGTTTATCCCGGGAGGAGGTTCCATATAAACTTCTTCTTCAAGRTGACCATTTWGGAACGCATTTTTCACATCAAATTGTCGTAGAGGCCAGTCTTGGTTTGCTGCTATAGATAAAAGGATACGAATGGTATTTATCTTTGCTACAGGAGCAAATGTATCTCCATAATCGATACCATACTTTTGAGTGTACCCTTTAGCAACGAGTCTCGCTTTGTACCTGTCAATATTCCCTTCCAAATCGAGTTTGACAGTAAATATCTATCTGTATCCTACCGGTTTCTTTCCTGGAGGGAGATTTACCATCTCCCAAGTACGATTCTTTTGGAGGGCTTCCATTTCATGGTTCATTGCTCTCTTCCACTTCTCGTCTTTCAGTGCTTCATGAACATCGTTTGGTATAGACACATATGACAACTGGTCTACGAGTAGCGCTTGAGATCTTGCAAGCCGGTGCGAGGAAACATAGTTGTTGATGGGGTATTTTGCCTTAGCCTTGAGATCTGGTTGATATCGCTTTACTGGAACTCCACGGTTCTGTCTTACAGGATATCTTGGTTCAGGTTCTTGCGGGGTGTCATTGTTCAGGTTATCYTGCAAAACAKAATCATYAAGGTTAGTGGTTGGYGAGGGAACCGAAGGCGACGGCRGTTCATGTGGCTGGTGGACAGGCGGGGAAGTTATATTATCTTGATCTTCAATCACCACATCATCTTGCTCTCCACTAGCTTCCTCCATATGTGTCCCATTATCTTCTTCTTCATTTTCGTTGTTCGAAGTATCGGGTGTTTCATCCTGCAGATTTGGTTCTTCATTGCATTCATATGGGTTCTCTTCCTGCATTTTAGATGTTTTCTCCCCTTGAAGAGAACACTCACCTCCAAAGAATTGAATATTCTCATGAAATACCACATCTCTGGTGATGTACATTTTTTTTTTCCGTAGGGTCATAACAACGGTAACCCTTCTTGGAATCAGCGTACCCTAGGAAGATGCATCGACCAGCTCGAGGTTCCAGCTTACCTAGATTTTGATGCACATAAGACGTGCAACCAAAAACCCTTGGTTCAAGATCAACGCTTGCTGGAATTTCCACGAGTTCCTGAAGTTTTTGAAGAGGAGTTTTAAATTCAATGACTCTAGATGGAGTTCTGTTCATGAGATAAGCTGCAGATTGAACAGCCTCACCCCAGTATTGACGTGGAACATTCATGTCAAACAAGGATGCTCGAACAATCTCTAGAAGTTGTCGATTTCTTCTTTCTGCTAATCCGTTTTGTTGTGGGGTTCCAACACATGAGGTTTGATGTCTTATGGATTTTTCTTTACAAAATTCTTCCATCTCTTGGTTGATATACTCGGTTCCGTTATCTGATTGCAGGACCTGGACGTCACATTTGTATTGTGACTTGACGGTTCAGACCAATTCCTTAAAGACTGTACATACTTCTCCCTTATGTTTAAGCAGAGAAATCCAAATCATGCGTGTACATTCATCAATAAAAGTCACAAAGTAACGAGCACCATTAGGTGTGGGTATTCGAGTGGGGCCCCATACATCTGAGTGAATAGTCATAAAAGGAATCGAATTCTTATTAGCGCTCGGAACATATGAAGTTTTATGGCTTTTTGCCATTTCACAAATACCACATTTAAAATCATCATCTTTTCCAATAAACAAACTTGGTTTCAATTTTCGAAGATACCTAAATGATAAATGCCCTAGTCTACGATGCCATAGCCATGCCAACGTTTTATTTCCTTGAGTTATTCCAGTATTAAGAGCTTCACCATACTTCTGATCTTCAAGGTAGTACAACTTCCCCCGCCTAGTACCATAGCCAAGAATCCTCTGTGTCTTGATGTCCTGGAAGATGTATTCATCAGGCCCGAATGTTACAAAACAATTCAATTTTTTTTGTAATTTGGGATATGGACAAGAGATTAGAAGATAATGAGGGAACCACAAGAACATTTTCTAGATTCATAGATCCAGATACTTGTATTGGTCCTTCACCAGTCACATGTGCAGTTCCTCCATTTGCCGTGAGAATCTTGGATTGTTTTGGAGAGCACCTGGATACAAGCTTACATGGATCATTTGTCATATGATCGGTCGCTCCTGTGTCAATGATCCAACTACCATCACTAGTAGAATTAGATTTAGACATACCATATTTGTTCACATGCTCAGTATGTGCAGCAATCGGAGCCCGCTGGTTCGTCTTTGGTTGAGGTAGCAACTGTTGCTTGGCCTATTTTTTTTCGGGGCTTCTTCGAGAAATCCCACCATTCCGGATATCCGAGGATCTCATAGCATCGTTGCTTTGAGTGTCCTTCTTCTCCACAGTGGGCGCATGTAAAAGAGCTTCCCTTATTGCTTGGATTCTTACCTTTCTGAAATCGGTTCTTGGCAGCCAAGTGTACCATTCCATCAGTTTCAACTTTCGGTTCTTCCATTGTATTTCTTTGGTTTTGATCCTTTCGAACATAGGCATAGCATGATTCAAGATCGAGAGGAGGGTCTTTTCGCAGGATGTCACTTCTGACATGATTGAATTCGGGATCGAGCCCAACGAGAAAGATGTGAACACGAAGGCGGGCAAGGATCTTATTACCTGATACAATTTGTGCCACACTTTCTTCCTGAGTTGTAATGCGAGTGTCGATTTCTTGAAATATGCTRACCAGTTCATTGTAGTAGGTGGGCAAAGGTCTACCGTTTTGGCGAGTAGTGAACGATCTTCGGTTAAGCTCGAAAAGTTGAGTTTCATCAGAACCATCGTAGAAGGTTTTCACAACTGCTTCCCAAATTTCTTTTGCCGTCTGGAGACGAATGAATCGTTGAATCAAGGAGGGGCTCATCGAATCGATAAGCCAACTCTTAACACGGTTGTTATCGATAAGCCAGTTTTCTAGTAGTTTTTCATCCATGGGTTTCTGACTTTTTCCAGTAAGAAATCCGGATTTATTTCTTGCTCC